GGGGGGGGGGGGAAGGTAGTCCTACCACATAAGCAGATAGCCATAAATGAAGCTCAGTAGGAGACTCCCTTTCTGCAGATAGGAATTGTATTTCTTTTTAAGTTACAACTTGATCCTGGTGTATCCTGTCTAACCGTTTTTCTGCATAGTCCCCAAACGATAAACAGAAGGGAGTTGTCACTCACTCTAGTATAAAATGAGTCGATCAGTGAACTTTGTATCCAGCTTTCTGTAAAGGCTATCTGATATTCTTTAGAAGATAGCTTCTCTGTCAAGCTTAGCATCCTTTTTTTTTGCGAGGGCTTCTTATGTTTGGACGGGCATAAAAAGTGGAAACTTTGGTTAAAGATCGGGAAAAACTGTTGGATTGTTCCAGACCATAAACAGTCCAAGAAAAGTGATGGTAGCCCCATTGTTTAAAACAAGACCAGACAAAGCATTAGAAAACATGCTGCATGGAACAATTACTGCATTACTAGGGATTTAGATTTTATTGACATAATAGGCACTTCTAACTTCTGTGATCTTTATTTGTTTTAGCACTAGATGCAACCTGCAGGCTAAGGGCTGTATTGAGCAAAAAGCCAACTAAGCATATTTGGTTGTAAAATTTCAATGAGCTTCCTGCCTTGTGGAAGAAAATAATTAAAATATTATGCAGCCCTTCCTATGCCATGGGGAGTGTTGAAGTTGTAGCATACTCTACAGAATACTATACAGAGTTTATCTGGATAATTGTTTTAGTCTATAAGCAAACCTGACTGAGGTTTTCAAGCACCATGTATATGTGTGCAGGCCACCCAGTAAATTGTTTTAGAAAGTGTTCAGATCAGGTTCTCTAATGTAATTAATTTAAACTCTATTATGGATAGCTTAACGGTGGAAAGACTTAGTATGTGCTTGAGGAAATACATTATTCACAAGCTGTGTGTTCTAGCACTTGAAGTTAGATTTTTACATGTCTTCCACTTCGGGCACCTTGTTCTCGCTTCAGAATATTGGTCTGACACTTCTCTTTAGTAATCTTAATGATGTAACATACATGGATTGTCTTGCTTGCAGATGAATTGCCTTGGGTTTAGATTAAGGCATATTTTTCAACTGCTGTAATCTGGGCTGGTGACCACAGAAATACCTTTAGGTAGTGATATTGACAGGGAGTGATTAAGCCGAATACTTGCCCAATCTATTGAACCAACCTCCCAGTACAATACCCTATCCCTCAAGAAGCTGTCTTTGGTCTTCTGGCCACCAGATATTTAGAAATTCACCGAAATGCATTCTGTTCAGCCTTGCTTAAAACTAAATTTAAATCTGACATTTAGTCTACCTGAATTACCCCTACAGCTCTAAATGCCAGGTCCCTCTTTTAATACCAAATGGGATGGTTTTGATACTTAAGCTACCTGTTCGTTCACCCCAAAGCTGGGCGTATTCTGTTGGCAGGTAAATTGAGCCCTTAATTGTCATTCACCTAATAGAAATCCAGTCAGTTAATATTCGTAGAACTCTTTGAAGCTCAGGTGGGAAGAGGCTTAATAGGTGCCAAGGTATTCAGCTAGCCTTTGGGCCATGGTTGTGGACCCCCTGAATGCCCTCTCTCTGCTTGGAAGATTACCACTGCTGACAAAGACTTGGCTGGTGTTGAATCTGGTTGAAGCGTGCTGATCATAGCTTATCCATGCCTATACTTGCAGTTTTGAAAATGAAGTTAGCCTCCAGAATGATGGTGAGTGTAAATTATCATTGTCTGTGCTTGCAGTTAACCACGTTCAGCGGTTGGCAACTCCTGTTGAACAGACAAGGTCTAATTGTCAGTACCTGATTTTTTTTTTTTTTTAAGGCAGTGTATACCACTTCTTATTGAGACATATACTGCTGAAGTGGAAATACTGTCACAGTGATTTTCCCTAAAAGCCACTCACAGCTATCAAGCCTTTAGTGCCTATGAGATGAAAGAATTTGGCTCCGAGTCACCTGGTTTTGAGAGGAAAGGCATCCCAGATGATCTGTGATCATAGGAACTTGACACCTGGACAGTTGGAATCTGGATGTTGGCCTGTGATGAGCTGGCATCTCACCATGAAGGTGAGAGCAGCTCCTCACTGGCCATGTCTTGTGCAGCAATGGCTGCCAGCTGTTTAGGGGACAAAAATGAAGGAGAGGATCAGATTTTTCTGTCTTCAGAATTATGTCCTGTATGTGGGAGAAAAAGCAAGAGGCAGCAGAGACTTCTTTCATCCAAAACTGGGAGACAAGGTAGACACTGAAGAAGGATCTTTAGGTGACAGAAGAATGAGTGAGCCTGTTTTACTAGTGATGAGGAGGAAGGGAGAGAAGATGGAGGAAGACTGTGGAAGCACAATGGAAAAGGAAGATAGATGGTGGAAAAACCATAGTGGAAAAAAAGGAGGCACAGAAGAAGGTGCATATGGCAGGATGGAGGACAACCAGTGACAAAGAAATAGGAGAAGGAACAAGATTGTGGGGAGTAGGACAAATACTCATTTTTAAAAATTCCCAAAGAGTGGGAAGATGGTAGCAAACTGTAGATAGAAACAAGGAAATATGGGTGGTTTGGAGGTTAGTAGATTTTTTTTTTTTTAAGGAGTGTGAAATTGAAAAATCTTAGACTAAACAGTTGCATTTGAACCTCTGTGTTCATTGCACAGCTGTAGTTTTTTGGGGAAAAAAGGTAACCATTTTGAATGTGTTGGTACTGCAAGCCAATCCAAATTAAAAATTTAAGTAATTTGAGGAAAAGCGAGACTAAAATATACTCTTATCTCCATGACTGTGCCTAATGTGAAAAATTTGCTATTGAAAAAAGCCAGTGTGATGGCAACTGTGCTTGTACAAGCCTATACAAAAGGATTCTGTGCAGTAAAAGTATCTCTCTTTTTTTTTTTTTTTTTTAAATTTAAAAAGGCTTAGTAAAGGCAGGGTTAGGTTCAAAAATCTACTTTTAAGATACTGTGAAGGTTAGTGCAGTACGTCTTAATTTATTACTAATTAGCCATGAAATGCATTAGAGCATTTGCAGACAAATATGCAAGCTCACATTATTCTATATATTATTTATCAGTCTTCTCCTATTACAGATAGATCTGTAATCGGAATGCTTTCTTCCGTAGCATGAAATCCTGGTGTTGTGGGTTTTGGGTTTTTTTTATAGAAGGGGCTGAGGAGGGGAGCATGCCTGTGGCCAAGAGTTCTGGTAGATTTTCTTCTACAGGGACCATCTATGTTCTTCCATATTTTTCACCAGTTGTCATAAATGTTCTGGTTTGAGTTAAATTAGGTGAAGGTGACAAAATACCTAGAAATAAAATATGTTTTAGGAATTCATCTGGGATGTGTTTTTTAATTCCAAACTTTCACAGAGCAGGAAAATGCTCTTTGTGCATTTCATACTGCCTGGGATGCCTGATAGATCCTGTACTGTGTGTGTACTCAAAAAATACCTGATGAGGTTGTGTGACATTGTGAGTCCCTGACTGCTAGTATTTTCACATTTTGAAGTGAGAAGTTTCATTCTTCAGTTCTGCTAAACAGCCTATGCAGTGTTGTTTAATCATTTGGTTTCACTGTCAGCTCGAACTGATAGGAGGCTGCTGGGGGCGTCAGCCTTGGCTGCCTCTTCCCACCTGCGGTTTATGCCAGCACTAATTACTGCGGGGCTGTACGACGAGTCTGGTCAGCTTTCTGAGCTGACTGGAACAAACCCTTAAGAAAAGTGCGTTTATTCCCATTGTGTGTGGCTGCAAATACTGACACAGAGGAGAGGATGAGAATGTCCGGTTCAGATGGGGAAGGCTAGAAATGTTTCTTACTATTTTTGGTTTGATTTAAGCTAGTCATAGCACAGCACCCTAGGGCTAAGATAACATGCGTTATGCCACAACTACAGAGATATGTAACTGCTGTTGTGCACCTTTCACAAATTGTGGTGTTCTGCTCCAGGAAGCAACCTTCTTTTTGGACTTTGTTACATTATTTCAGTAACTCAGAAAAACTAAGCTACAGGACCTTGCTCCAGAAGTTGTTAAAAAGTCAGACTTAGTTAATATATTTTATTAGCACTACTGAACATAACTTAAATTGTTGCCTTAAGAAGTAGCAATTGGAAAAACAGAGCACAAGTAGAGAAATTCCTGAAAGAAAGTAAAGAAATACGGGTTTTAGTACAATAAACTTTGTAGATGTCTTCCTAGGCTTTCTTACCCACTAGCCTAATATCCTAACCTGTTTGATTATCCATTTTAATTCTAGTTAAAAGACATATTTGTTGATGTGAGCAGACGATTCCTGTTGACTACATGTCTCAGGTGACTCAAGTCAAAAGAATTCTAAGAGTGGAGTCTCTCCACATCTCCATTTCATATAAGTAGCATGTGTCTGCAACTTCCTCTTCTCAAGTGAAGTTAATGCTGCCTCATGGATGTCAGCCAGATCAAAAATGGAGGTCACTTTTTTTATTCAGGCTCATGGCATATCAAGGTTGGCTCTGCTTAGTGTGGGGATCATTTGACACTAAAAATCTTTAGAACACATGATGAATAGATGCTCATTACTCATAAAGCATAAACCTGAAAGGTACAGAGTACACCTGTGATAACACTCCAGTCAGTCTCCTGGATGAAACCCTTAGGTTAAGAAGAATTCTTGGCCTGTAAAGCTGCAACTTGTTGAGCTCTGTGTGTGTATGTATACATATAAACAAAAATTAACTTTCAAATAAAATTTGTTCCTGCAGGGTTAAAGTCTAAACAAAGTTTTCTATCTGCAAGCTCAATGTGGTCTTTGAAAATCAACCGTGAGGGTTTCTTTTTGTTTAGCATGTAATTACTGACAGTGATGATTCTGGAAACAACTTAGTTGGCAGTATTGTTGATGAAGAATAGAATATGGTTGGCTCTTCAGCTATTATACCCCAGGCTGATGTCAATAAATATCCATTTTAATCAGCAGTAAAGAAACTTTGGCTGGAAAGATATGATGAATGTCAGATCTTGATAATGTGAAGCAACAAAAGAGCTTTTAAAAAGCTTTTCTAACCGGCACCAGACTTATCTTTTTGATTATATAAGCAGGATTTCTTCACTGTTGTGTTGTTCGGTGCTAATCATGGAATTACAGATTCACTCTCTTTCATATGCTGTATAGAGTATGAACCAAATGATGTCAAATACATCGGCAGAGGCTGTAGTGTTTGTACATGGAAAGGACTCCTGAGCCAGACCCTGTATGTCTGTGAAGAGGAGCATCCTTCCTTGCTGAAGGCTGTTGGTGCTTTGCTGTCGGCGCTCTCCTGCCCTGGTCTTCAGGGCGGTGGTGCGGTTGTCACTAGCTCTTCCCACTGCTAGTCTGTGGCCAGAATTGTGAGTGTGCAAAGTGTTACTTCAGGTAGTAATGCTCCCTCTGCCAAGTGAGTCTCCTGTGCGCCAGTCCATATAGTCTGCTTCCATTAGGCTGCCAACTCTAGAGAGGTGCGCTGCTGCGCTTGAGCTGTAGCTGCCTTGTCCTGACTGTTACTTCTGTTTTTTTCCTTTATTTCGCCTTCCCTGCTGAGTTTAGGGAGAAATAGGAATGTGTGTTTAGAGGTATAGCCTGTGTGTGATAAAAACTCTATTTACTCTTCAGGTTCTCCCTTTAAACTGATTGTTTGACAAATATGACCTGATTAAACTAACCACTTATTTTCATGAAGTGTCACACTGGTTAAATGAATGAGTACTACAGTAGGCTGTGAATTGCACAGTGAATTCTTCACCTTTTGACAACAGAAGCATCCAAATTACTGTTTTCTCTCCTTTACCAGCTATAATCTATTTCTAGAAGGTCTGTTTGTCTCCCTTGCTGAATTCTGACCCTCTCAGTTGTTCCACTCGATCACAGCATTCATAATGGTAGGGCTGTAACACACTTCAGTGAATAAATCTGCCTTCATGGATTGGTAACTTTAGCACCACATTGGATAGCATTTTCTTTTGTAGGACATCATTTAACATTTCATGAGATAGAAGCCATGACTGTTCACCCTTAAGATTGATTATGTAGCGAGCAAGTCTAAAAACTGCCTTTTAATTATATGTGCTGGAACCAAAGAATTGGCTATGCAGACATCAGCATAGGCATACTGAGTGTGACAAAAGAGACTTTGCTCAGTGTCCTGATTTGTGCCCTAGTCAGTGGTAGGAGGGAAGTAAAATCAGGACAAATACAGGATGTCTTCACCTGATGTCTTCCTATTCTATAATATAGGAAAATAATATGATATTTTATAATATAGGATGACTTAGGGATTCCCAGAGCGGTACCTAGTATATAGACAATTGTGGTTGAGTGTTTGCTGTGACACCTCTTGGTGGTTGCCAGAAATGTAAGTCTGTGTTTTGACTTTCCAGTAGAATTCCTTCGTCAGCAGTTGCAGGATGCCCTGCTGTGCTGTTTCACGGATGTATCTGTGCAGTAAGATGCTACCTCTGTGAATACCCCTAGGCTAACCTTTTTTCTCTGACACTGAGTAGTACTCAGCAGTCTGCATGTTCTTAAAGATGTTAATGATAAATGGGAAATAAAATACAACACACGGTTAGGAAGAGCTGCAGTAAAATTTGCCTTTGCATGTTTCATTTAAAATAGTTTTGTGTTTTAAAAAGCTATGATATGAGTGCTGGTGGGGAGTGCACACCCAGAAATTACAATGTATTTTTATGTTGTGTACCCAAGTTAGGGTAATGAATCAACTTACTGTGTCAAATGTTCATCATGTCCTGGAATGCTTAGATTATTAACATTGTAAGGTGTAGGCTTTAAGTTTTTTCTCAGTATAATTAAAAATGCTGGATCGAGCAAGGCTATCATGATTGTTACTGGTCTCACAGCTTCCCAAGAAATTCTATAACACCGCTTCATAGTATTTCATACAAAGATGAGGTAACAGCTAAGGTAATAAACATTCCTAGAGACTTTTGTAAGATTACATTTTATTAGTTCATTCCACTGATAAGAAGTTAGCTTTCACTATTGTATAAAATAAATGCTTTAAAAAAATATTGATAATGTTTGTCCTCCTTGTTTTAGAAAAGAAAGCTTCCTACTTACTGTAAATAAACATGGATTTTTGCAGGTCTTGGGCATTCTAATTTCTTAATGTTTTTCAGCTTTTCAAATGGATATCAGATTCTGTCTCTTGCAGGTTCTTCTCAGCTGTTGGCACCTTCTTAAGCAGTATAACAACTTTGATACTAGTTATCTTCTGCCGTGTGTGTGTTTCTAATGCTCTGAATGTTAAGATATCTCTAGTCATACAGATACTGGATAAAGCTAACATCTACCAAAAATATTTCAGTTATTGGCACCTTCATACTTCATTTGCTTTTTACTTTCTTTTCTTTTCTTTTTCTTTCTCTTCATGCTAATCATTATCTGGCTATGAAAGGATGTCGGCTCATCATTGGGGGAAGGCTTTTGCGAAAAGGTGGGTTTTGTGTTGTATTCCAAATATAGTTGGTCTTAGGCTCAGTCCCTCACTCACAGGAAGGTTTTTCACAAATGGAGATGTTTTACTCCATTTCCTTCTGGGTTGACTAATACCAGGGTGGGGCTAGGGGGGAGGAGGAGAAAGGTTTATGGGAGAGGTTGTCTTGTTGGCTTGAAAATGGATAGTTTTGTAGGGAACCGTCCTACTATGTGGAAAAAAAACCCTCTTTAAAGTATTTAAAAGATTTTGAAATGGAATCTGATGCATGTCAAGATACGGAAGAAAGTACTTTCTTGTCATAAGTGGATTTCAGGAGATTTTTCTTTTTCAAAAGAGATGGTGACTCTGGCTAACCTGCAGCCACACAAAGTACCCAGTCCCCTTGCTTCTATTCCCCATCTGCAGAATAATGGTCTTTCTTTGCATGAAGACAGGTGTTTTGGGAATCCCTCAGCCATGGTGAGTGTCATGAACGAGTGTTACCCTTACACAGAATGCATGTCCAGGAGATAGAGCTCACCCACCGCAATGTATGGAGACTTACTACAAATAAACACATGCTTGTTTTCAATCTTATGTTTTTAAAACAACCCCCCTTTCTTATTGAAGCCATATGAATGTGGACCTGGGAAAGAAGCCTGAAATTGAACAGTATCTTTGGGGGTCAGGGGGTGACAGAGGCAAAACTCAAGGGGGTGAGGGCCTGCCTAGGAAAAAGACAGATGACCTGCATCTCAGTTTAGAGAGCAGAAGATACTGTTACTATTTTTCCAGGCTGAGGTTGGAGCTCTTAATCTTTTTGCTGAGGAAGCTACCCTGGAAAGTAGCTGAGTGCAGCCAAATGCTATACCAGCCAATGTGTGACTTGAACTTTTCCTAGACCATCTATATTTTTGCTTTTTGCCTACACCATTTAGCTTCCCATCTACTTATCATGGCTTCTTGAAAATGGTTTGGGTGGGAGAAAGATTTTTGCTCAGTTTTGAGTTTATGCCTTTTAGTACTGTATGCTACCAAGCCCTCCTCTTTCTTCATTTCCATCAATAAAAAAAAAATCCATGTTGAAAATGGGAAGCTGTTTACTGCAGTTTTTAGAAAGCTTGTGTTCTTTTCAATATAATAATTTTGTATTTGACAGAAGAAAGACTTGTTAATAGATTTACTTATGCAAAGTGAAATAAAGTCCAAATTAGATACGGTTGCAAATGGACAGATTTCTACAGAGTGAAACACGGCTGTGAGCAAGTCAGTTGGAGAGAACTGAACTGCTTAGGAACACACAGCTTGATATTCAGAAACCACAGCTGAAAAAGGTCATATTCTTGAAAAGAAATAATCTGGGTTAGGGTGGAAATGCAAACCTCCATACAGGGAGATTGTGTTAAATTTATCAATGCTATTCCAAATAAGTTCACAGCTGTTAATTCTTCCCCTTAAGTGCAAAGCTAGAAAGCATGAAAAAAATTATAGGACACAAGAAGTCATTCCTCAACAGAGGACAGTGAAGCTCTCAAGATATAACAACTAGGGTGGTTTACTGTGTGAAATAGATTTTGTTAGTATAACAGAATCTTTCTTTTACCTAATATTGTTTATATAATATGAGTATGATGAGTTCTGAATAACCTGTACACAAGTTCTCTGGTTTGGGAATACATGATGCATGATGTCCACATTTCAACTGCTGCATATGCTAGCTCAGGTCTAACACAGTTTGTTGGTTCAAGCACGAGACAGCACAGATGCAGATACTCTGTTTTCAGTCAGCTGTGTCGTTCAGAAGCAACCTACTTGTTAAATCTATCTGCTGGAGAGCCTAAGCTAATAAGCCCTGCTTGGAGGCAGACTGGCTCTTGCTGAAGCTAGTTTGTATGCCTGTGCCGCATGCCCACGTGTAAAAGGGCAATAGTCTAAATAGTTCTGATACACTTCTTTTTCTGAGGTAGGTTATCATCTTGGTGTAGTGCAGTGTAAGTAGTACAGCAGTATTCCTGGGATGCTGTACTTGAACTAAAAGCCTTCCTCTAATATATCTAAGAAATACCTTCATGGGCCTGTACAGAACATCCTGGTCCCTGATTGCTGGGGGTAGCACTGTGGGGGAGGATGTTAGCATCTAGCATCAGCAGTTGCTTTTTTTTTTTTCTAGCTGGTCTGAATAATTTGACACTAGAAGGTAGCAAAGGAGCTGACAGAGAAGTTCTCTGCATTGTGTACTGCAAGGTTTGTTAGAAGTCAAAGTTTAGGGAAGTATAGAGGATTGGCATTGCTGTGCCAGTAGATAGAGGGTTAACTAAGATGGCCTAAACAACCAGCACCATCCTGGCGTTGAGGGCATGCAAAATAGTGAAATTGTTGGCAGAGGATTTAATTGGCTTTACTAGTTCCTTCAGCTGGGCAACTGCTCTTGTCCTTCCTCGAGAATTACTGATTGATAAACAGTTACCCAGTTGTTATAGGTCTCAAGATACTATTGAGAACGATGAATTGTTATCAAGCATTGAATTTTTACTGGATCTTGTTACGGGTGTGCTTCTTGTTCCTATGCCAATTATTAGTGGTTTGGAAGAAATGTGTACTACTGCTCTTGAAAACTGGGATAAAGATTGCTCGCATATTAAATAGGGCAGGGTGGGCCAGTCACTGGGAACACGTAATAACCTGCACGTAAGGAAGTTCTGCATTTCACTTCAGCCAAATGTGAGATCATGCACGTAAGGAATGAGGAATGAAGGTCATTTTGTGTGCTAAGGAAGTGGGAAGTAATAATTGTTAAAAAGAGTTAGGGCCAGTGTTAGGTGGTCAGATACAGATGCTCTTCTGCCAAGAAGGGTAGTTCTGTCTGTGTAAAAATCAGTGGAGTGTTGAACAGAAGATGCAGTCGCTGTGTTTAGTCCTACTACACCTACTGTTGGCATGGCATGTCCAGTTCCAGCATGAGCCCCACAAACAGATGTTGGAAATACAGGAGAGTTCTGGAAAGAACTACAGGAAATGTTCCATTGTCTTTAATCATTCTTAAGCAGCCTGTTTAGGGAGATATGTATAGATAAAAACCTAAAGTGAAGGGGTAACGTGATCATAGTAATTAAGTACCTATATGGGGAGCACAAATCTGGTGACAATGCAGTAGCCAGGCAGTAAGAAGAAGCTAAAGCCAGTTCTATACTAAAACATTATATACACCACAGTGTGTGGTTTGGGTGGTTGTTTTTTTTTAATAGTAACTATTGAAACAACTTTCCAAGAGTTGTCGTAGCCTTCTATCAGTAGTATTTCTTAAATTAACTGAATGTGTTTTTAAAAATAATTTGATCACAGCTGTTGCACTCGAATTAACAAACCAAGGAATTTAAGGTGACAGAGTATATGATCACAAGGTTACATCAAGTTATTAAATAGTGTGAAACTTGCCAAGTGTCGTGCAAGCATGAATTTGTTCATTTGTGCCTGTACCATGGTTATTAGCTCTTGGATTATGATCTCGCATCCTTATGCCACAGTGATTTACATATTGAGTGTTGCTGTATGCCAGAGTTTTGGTTGTCCCCTCTGGTTTTCAGCAAGAGTAGTAGTAGCAGTAGAAGAGTGAGATCTGGGATTTCTGGAATGACTGAATTTAGCATCTTCTGTGTAGCCAGACGTTTACTCCACATTTGCCGACTACTGAGCATTTCTAATACTTTAATGAGTGAAAGTTGATGTGTAGATCTCAACCATGAGTTGAGAACTAAGGGACATGAGGGGACCTGCTCTTTCATAAACAGGCTGTCAGGAAATGAAAAAAATACTGTTATCTTAACCATGTGATCCAATGAATAAAGACTGTTATAGGCATTATATATACCCCTTCATTTTTACAACTAATAGCTGTTCAGGGAAACTAAGTGGAAGGAACTTAACAGATTGCAGACGTATCTGAGATCTCTGCAAATGGTGCTCAGCCTAATTATATCTGAGAGTTCTCTACATTTGGTAAGATTTCTTCCCTTGTTCTCCAGGCTGTCCTGGGTGTTTTCAGGCATGAGGTTTTGTAGGAACAGGAGTCTAGTACAAGAGAAAAAAACCCCATTTTATTATTTTATCAGTAGTATTAAACTGTAAAGGTGAAAATTTTACGGTGTGTACTTTTGGAAAAGCTTTGTTCGTGTCTCCTTTCCAAAGGCTTTCCTGCTCTAGTTAGGTACAGTAATGCAAATGGGAAATAATATCAAACACCTCCATGTTCCATAACTGATTTGTCAGTCCACATAAGTTACTTAAAAATGCTTAAGTATTGTTGCAGTTCAGGTGATGTTCCACTTGGCCTTAACAGGTGATGAAATGGATATTGTGTTATGAAATGGGAACCTCTTTATTGTTGCCATCAGAACAAAGTTCAGCATGAACCTGAAGTCTGAGTTGGATCCTTTGAAGATTTTTTCAAAGGTGTTGCTGATGTTTTTGAATGTTACATGCTTCTTGTCATTGATGTGTTTTTATTTCTCAGCCTTATCTGTATATGTTTTATTGCAGCACACGTCCCATGGAGACGGACGGCAGGAAGTTTCCTCTCGAACTGGGCGCTCTGGAGCTCGCTGCAGGAACTCTATAGCTTCCTGCGCAGATGAGCAGCCACATATTGGAAATTACAGACTCCTTAAAACGATTGGAAAGGGGAATTTTGCAAAAGTAAAACTGGCAAGGCACATCCTAACTGGCAGAGAGGTAAAGTGGTATGGGTGTAAATGGCAGTGAATTGCAGTAGGTGTGAAGGTTTTCTTAGAAGAGCATCATCTAAGCCTGTGAACATTTAGCACATCTTACTAGAGAGATTGCCGCTGATGTAGAAAAAAATAGAGAACTATTTTTTTAGTAATGATTACAAAACAATTTATCTTGAAAATGGTGTCTTCGATTTGTATTTGTGACAAGTCCCTATCCAACTGAATTGTGTTCAAATGTGTTACTAGAATTCTCTGCTAAATCCTCCGTTCCCAATAGCAGTTAAAGAAGTTTGCTAGAAAGACTGTACCTTGGTGTCTCTATACAGGACAATGCAGGGCTGTATTGGAGAGGAAATCAGGAATGAGAATTAATATCTTCTTGATTATGGTCTGAGCAGCACAAGCGCAGTATTTTCTTGCCAAAGCAATGCATTTCACAGGAGTTCTGCTAGTGTCTGCGGTGCTGGGCAGCCTTGGGAAGACACTCCAGTTTGTTTGGAGCCGGTTTGTGTGTCTTGCTCTGTGTTGTGTGGTGTAGACAAACTTTCTCTTGTTAATCTTCATAGTGTCTTACTCAGCTCCATAATTAGTTTCTGCATGCCACTGCAGTGTAATTAATAACTTGTACTTAATGATGGTTTGATTTGGTGACTGTAGTACTGTTTGCTTGCTACGAGAAGGTATTTCTTGGTGCTGTTTTATTAATAGCAACTTTACGTACTGAAAGGGGGAGAAGCACCTTGTTGACCTTTCTTGCCAAACCTGTCCAATGAAGTAAATGTTTGTTGATACCAGCAAGGACTTAAAGCGATGTGGCTGACTACAGCGCTTTAAGGGAATTTCTTTTTTCTGAGCTAAGAAAGAGTTCAGTAGCACTGGGAGGAACAGAGGGGATGACATTTTGCAAACGTTGTTGGAAGGGATTTTTTTTAAGCCAACAGTTCCGGTGATCAACAGTTGTCTTCTGTTGTTAAACTTAGTGCCAGTTTATAGACAGAGTTTTTAGTTAATTGCTTTCCACTTAAGTTCCCTTCTCCTTTTACTGATACTTAACACAGGAAATGTAAGTATTTCGTTAGTATTTCTTTGCCTTTATTAGAGGTATAGGAGTTGGAGGTAGGTATCTTATGTCATGCAATGCTTTGCCAAAATTGAACTACGTTTTCTTCTACTTGCTTGTAACTGTGTGTTGACCTCTGGTTCATTACTTTTGTTTCACATTTCAACAAAGTGACAGTGTAAAATCTTTGGCCAAATTTGGAAAGATTTAATTACTAAGTTTCTTTAACTCTCATGAAATAGATGTAATTCAATCAAGAGCTTAAATATTTTCCAGGCTGTGGCCATTGGTCTTGGTTACTTAGAATGAGTGGCATTCCTTTGAAGGGAACAATTAAGCTAGTTTTATAGGAATATCTTGAAGGTATTTTAAACTTTTTTTAAAATTGTGAGATGAGTAAAAGTTTCTCTTCTTGACAGGTGAACTGTACAGCATGTTTAATAATTAAATACTTTAGATGTGTATGACTAGAATTGTTCACAGTATTCTGGATAACAGTTTCCCCAGTGTCATTAATTTACCCTTGCCCTTACAGAAGTATTTAACTGATCAATCTTTAGATTGTGCTAACCTTTTTCATGGCTGTCACAATGATATTTTTTGGTTGTGATCAGCAACAGCACCTTGTACTTTGTTGAATCTTGCTTTCTTTGCTAACTCATCTCCAAGGTTGATTATATCAGTTTTCCATTTTATTTGATGGTGCCTCTTAACTCCTTCAGCAGACTTAATCATTATGGTTTGACTTCCCATGCCAAGGCCACTGATACAGATATTAAACAAGATTGGTTCCAGGTCCCGTCCTTGAAAAACTCTTACTCTTTCATTCCCAACCTGATACCTCTTTAGCCTTTTTTTTTTTTTTTTTTTTTAAATTAAAAAAGCTCTGCAGACATTTCAGCTTATCTAGTTCAGTAATTTCCCTGCATCCTCCTAGGTGAGGCTTTATAATAGTCCAGATAGTCATATCTTGTGTGTTTCCATAGGGCACATTTAACTGTAGGAAAATATGTTGTGTTTAACCCTTCTGTCTGATTCCCTGTTTTTTCCACACAAGTTTCAAGCTCAAGAATTTTGTGGTAAATGGCTCTACTATGAAAAAAAAAAAAGTCTGATAGTTTCTAAACTTGTGCTGCCATTTTGTTCTTAATAGATGTTAGAGATCTGTGCTACAAGAATGCTATTTCTGTTTCTTTAAACCTGCAACTCTTAAGAATTCCAGGATAATGTTCTCAGTCTGGCCTTAGCCAGATGACACTCATCTTCCTGAATTTGTGATTTCCTGTTTTACACACTTATTCCTGCTGGCTGTCCTGCCTTTGTTCCTATTCTTTTTTCCATCTTTTGTACCAAAACCTAAAATAAAATGCTCAGTTTTGGGAGTCATGCATAAATGAGATTTTACCTCTGTTGTACCCTTGCTGTATTTGAACCCTACTTATCTTTTACTTGTTATCTGTGTGGCTATTCTTAATGTTCTTTTAAGTGTCTGGTTCAAGTTCACTTTATGGCAATGCCTTCTTTATATTTCTGTGATGATTAGCTTCTAAATGATGCTGCAGATCAGCAATTTTCTGTCACTTGGGAGGATGGTATGTTTGTTCAAGCATTCTTCTAGGGTAATTGCTCATCTCCTTACATCTGGAGTCCTTCCCTATGAATTTTCCTGTTGCTTGATATACAGCTTTCATGTTTCCAACTGGAGTAAGTTCCAGGACTCTTTCATTTCCATCTTTAGTGTGTCTGCAGGATTATGAGAGCCCAGCCTCAAATTACAGAAAGGGAGAAATGTTTAGCCCTTTGGGGGGTGATCAGAACATCAGCTTAACTTGAGGGGGTTGAATTGTCCTGCCAAGGAGTGTGTGGCCTTCTGCTCACTGCAGAGGTATGGAGGGAGGATTAGCTTCACTGCACTAGAGCTGATGTTTGGAAACATGCTCCTTTGAGATCCTCTGTCTAGGAGCGTATTACTTGTAGTCTGTCTGCCCTTTCGAAAAAAAGAATCTTCATTGTAAGTCTGCTTTTGTTAATTCATTGGCTTTAAGCTGTGTGTTTTCTGTTGTAATTTATCAAAGGATATTTTCTCTGAGTTTTCTATACTTGTTAAAATTAATCTAAAAGATAAAACTACCTTTTGCTGTTACTGAGGTGGTTAGAATCACAACAAAAATATATGGATCCTTCTGCTTGCTAAAGGCATGTGTTCAATTAATAGTCAGGAAGTTGAAGTTTCCTAGTGAGACAGGATTTTTTTCAGGATCCAAGTCTGACTCCAAGGAATCTATTGTCATCTTTTTTTCTGTTCTTCCCTTGGAAAAAGTGAAATTTAAGAGGGAGAACACATTCTGAGTGGTGGCAGGTTGGCCAATTTGCTTAGTGTCTCAACTTCTAATTGCTTTAACTCCCTTATTCAAGTCATGTAGGAGGAATGTTTTAAGTCATGTTATTGTGAATGGTGAAAGCGAAGATAATTTTAATTCTACTAATGATCTCACACAGAATATGATGGCTGATGCAGCGGTCAGTGTAGGTGGACTTGAATTTCTCTGACATTGGCCATAGCACACAGAATGGTTTTAACATTCCAGATTAACTTTGTGTAAAGAGAGCAAAGTTTCTGCTTTGGAAGGCAATTCAATGCTTTACTAACTATGTTTAGTAAAACAGAGGATTTTCTTTCTCAGGCTTGTCAGAACTATTCTTGATGGCAGGCTCCCTTTGCCCATGATTTGGAGACATTATCAGGGTACCTGAAATTGCTCCCTGTTCTGATGACTGGTTCAAGCTCTCAAAGCCATTGTTAACACATTGTACTCTTAGTGTTCACATGGATAGGAATCCACTAATTCATCCTGCCTTTAAGGCTATAATTAGTGCACTGAACAGGCCTGTGAGGCTGCCTTTCAGAAAACTGAGGTGTATACCTTCCCTGTGTCTCCAGGGCTGAATTTGTTTGCCGGTGTCGGAGACCTCTCTGATCATCTGACACCAATGCACAGTGTGAGAGGTGAGCTGTGTTTTTCAGAAACCAAATACCTTAAGACTTAGTGGGTTGAAACAAGTTTGTCTTTCAAAGATTGACCAGAATGGTACAGCTTGGAACACAAATGCAACTTTTTCTGAGTGGCATGCACTTACAAAGCAAACAGACGTCTTCTGTGGCATGGGTAGTCTTGGGATACCAGGTGACTTTCAAATAACATTATCTGCTCTTGACAAAGGCAGTGGTCACTCTATATCCAGCATGGATTTACAAGAGATTGCAGGGAGTTAATAACTTGTTCCCTTTGTGACGATAGTTCAACAGGCGTAAAGGTAGAGATAAGAATCTTTCATGGTTTCGTATACAGCTGCTAATATAAAAATACTTATTGCTTAATGTGTTTATCTCTTGTGTGTATTTTTGAACTGATTTCTCAAGGTTTTGCAACGGAATTTTGCCTCAGGAAAGAGATCTTTAATTTCAGTAGCATACCTTAGAAGAAAATACTTCCCAGAGCAAAAGTATTATTAGATGACTTCTTGGTGACATCATATCTTGCATCTAGAAGGGTTCAAAATATATCTTGAATCTCAGTTTCAGAAAACACCATATCCATCACATAATTCTGTGATGCACCCAAGTGTTGAGCTCTGTTCCCCTCTTACCCTCTCCATCATGATGATCCATCCATGTGTTTTTGCACTTGAATGTAGGGATATAGATTTGCTTTGATGTAAGATAGTCTTTATTCCATATGTTGCCAACCCCCTAGTTAATGAGATGACAAAGATAGCACAAAGTGATGCTGGGAAATGGGAGCTGTGGCATGGGAAGGAGCAGCATCTACTGTTAGAGCCAAAAATTCAAGGAGAATTGAAAGCCCTTGCATTGCACCAGTGAGGTATTATAATCAGCTGAGTTTCAGCATCTTGCCTCATTGAGAGGCACCATCTCCTTGGCTCTGCACGGTTTCTTCTGGTATGTTTAGTCTCTTAATTTAAAAAGGAAAAATACCAATTGGTATGTAATTCTAGAAAGATCCCCTTTTCCTGTTCTAACTCATCCTGTATCCAAATTGCACTGCACTGAAACTAGTCTCTGTTGCCTATTCATTGCCTCAAATCTTGAGGTTCTGACTAGTTACCATGGTACTGAATTTCTCTCTTGATTGTTTTCTGAAATTTTTATTTAGTTCTTTAATATTTTTGTGAAGTATTTACTGAAAAGACGAGAACCAGTAAAGGAATGAACTTGCCCAAGTTGTTGTACTGTCACCAGTGGGTTTTTGTTGATGCACAAGTGATACCTTTTCATATCCATTGGGGAACAAATTGATACAAATAATCAATGAATTTCCAAAGGCGAACTTAGTTCTTGCAAAACATGTGTGGAATTACTTTGAGTTTGCTCTGAAATCTCAGCTTTAAGAAACATCTTCACAAACTGCCAATGCCCGGTCAGCACTGTGTAATCTGTTGTGTAATTATACTGTGTAAATATTATCTGTAGGTACACTGCTCTATTGGGGCACTGTCTGGTGTTGGATCTTCCACTGTAATAAGTGTAATGGTCTTTATGTCAAACAAAAGACTTGTGAGCTTTAATGCACTTAAAATACTAGGGGTTTTTCCACTATCCTGTTAAGTTTGTTGCTGTAGAACTGAATTACACTTTAGCTGTTAATTACAAATGGTTTTACTTTCTTCAGCAAATTATATATTTGTATTTAAACTTGAGTGGCTTTTTTAATCATTTTCATGTTTTCCATTTCTGTTACTGGATTTGACAATCTTGTAATAATGCTGCATTATTCATATGGAAAATACTGATTATGAACTCTTCCTTTAGGTTGCCATAAAAATAATTGACAAAACACAGCTGAACCCAACTAGTCTACAAAAGGTAGGTTTTTACATTTAATCTTTCAACTGTATTGTAACTTGTTTCATTTCACCACCCTCCTTCCTTTAACCCTGAATGCCTATGCTAGAGAAGCTGAAGCATTGCATACCTTGCACACATCTGACTACTGTATTTAATAACTAGTTTTGTAACATATTTTTGACAACCCTGCAGTTGTTCAAGATGAACTTGTACAGAACTGTAAACTGAGAAGAGAGTGGTATTAGCCACTTCCTTTGTCTCCTAAGCATAGCTAACTGTAGAGAGGAGGTTCGTGGTTTGGGGTCATGCCCCCCCATGCCTCCTTCATGTTGGTCACTTTGTTAAACTTCCTAATATAAAGCTTATGTTCTGTCCTCTTAAACTGGCCTTGAAAATACTGCCTCTGGACTGAAGGCCAAGCAGTATCTATACCTTTCACGTAGTCTGCAGCAGGAAAGGTGATGCAGTTTTATGGAACAAATTGGGGCATGGCTATTCTGGTTTCTCCCCTCTAGCCTCAGATGTTTAATGTGCTGGTACAGTTGTATTGCCTTATCTATAAGTAGTGATAAATCCTACTCTTTCATCAAGGAAGCCAGTCTGCTTTGGAGTGCCTGCAGGAAGTACATTTAAATGTCACTTTTACCTAGGACTTTTCTAACTCTGTCCTTTTAAGTGCTGCAGTCAAAGGCTTTTTATTTACTTTTGAGTACTTTGATAAAAAAGCTCCTTGCAATATTTCTATTTGAGAGAATACACAGAACTTACCTGCAAATGGCATAACCAGAGTAAACTGGAGAATATACACATTTGGATTTTATGCAGCTACTAAAAAGATCGTGTGACAGGATGTTTTAATTAATGGTGCAAAAGTAAATTGGAAAAATACACAAGTTCTTACATTGTACAGTTTGGTTGAGAGGCAAAGAATAACCTATAGGAGAAATGCTCTGTTTTCTGGGCAGGTAGCAACTATCTACTGACTCTGTAGACTGAATAAAAATAGATAATGTGATTCCAGTTTTCTCAGAATTTTTTTCAGCTTAATCTCTGAGGTTATTGGTAATTCCTGGGTAAGCAGGGAGGAAATTAAAAGCAAATTAGGTATAATGATGGATTAGATAAAGTTGATTTGTGTGGCAGATCTGCACAACCTGGAATACCTGAAAAAATTGCTAAATGTTTGAAGCACTTGGAAGAGAAACAAAAGCTGTGTGATATGAAGAGAAGGGGTCAGGGCATGGGAGGAATGATCAGAGAAAAGTAGACAGGCCATGTTTTCAGACAAAAATGTAAAAGCTTAATTCTTCACATGGTGTTATCTTGAGACTGGGCCATAATGATGACTTGAGCTCCTACTAAGGTACAAAGCAAACCTTTTACAAGTCACAGGTGTTCAGTTGGTAAAGCCACATGCTGGAAACCGATTGTTGGCCCTTTGGTTCCTGGGTTTCAGCCTGAGCAGTGTCCAGTCATGTCTCCCTTGTAATTTAATTTTTATGTACAATTTATAAAATTAGATTATAAAATCTGATTTGTAAATTGGTCTTGTCTACCACTGCATTAAATGGGAGTGTGGAAGAATAGTACAAAATAGCAGGGTAGAAATCAGATCACATTTGAAGAGTGAGATTGCTTCTGTGTTCTCCTCTCTAAGCTCATTTGTTGTAGGAGCACAGAAAAAAATTGGCAAGATATGTCAGTGTTCTCAATTAAAAAATTGAAAGTAATTTTCTTAAAATTTAAAGGCCTGCTTGTCCATATTAAGCAGAGTGAATGCACAATGCATTACTTAACAAAAAAAGCCTTAAGCAGAATTGTTAAGCCTTGCCCCTTTTCCACCAGCACTGTCAGCAGTGCCATATCCTCGGTGCATTTGAAGCCAACTGCGCACGCGACCTGTAGATGTGGGGGAAGCTAAGATGGAAGTGCTTCTGATCTTGCACTTCTGGAGAGAGCAATAAAATATTTGAGGTATGGTGGGGAGGGAAGGGCTGTGCCGAGAAGAGGGTGTGGTGTATAGTGTCTCAGCTGCGGTATAGCTGCATACCCTAATCATCCTTAGGTGGGGAAACACATGGTGATTAAGGCTTCTGGTTCTGATTTTTTTGTATTACATCTTCCACACTGATACTTCAGCTGCCAGAAAGAGGTTAACCTTGTTAAGGACTTGCTTTGCTTTTTGGAGCAGTAATTCTTGGTATGGCTTCGTGGTAAGCTCTGGGCGGCTGTGGTCCTGACAGCTCAATATTCGGCAGCACAGCTCTTCGGAAGAGTCAGGTTTCTTGTCTGCTGCTGAGGAAGTCTGTGGTACCCACATGCAGCTACTCTTAACTGTTGTTTTAGGACCTAATTACTACTCTGCTGCTCTTGCTTAGTGAAGAGGAAACTGTAACTGGTACTTCCCTGCTTTGAAAGAAAAGGGAATTCTTAGAGCTTTTTTCCCATGCTGGTGGTGTTAGTCATAATTGCTGTTCTCCCCAGATATACTTGTGTACCCAGTTCCAGTGAATATCGGTCTCACTGGAAACAAGTGCTGATGCTGCACTAGTTCACTTCCTCCTAGAAAAAAAAATGCTGTTTTTTTTTTTCTTTTGAATTAGCAATGCCATTATATGCAAGGGTTTTTTATCAAGCCCATATAATATCACTAAATCACTTCCCATTTTCCTTTTTTAGAGCTTGACTCCTCAGCCAAATATTTGTTCATTATACGCACATGTTTTGTCACTTGTTTGGGCCATTTTTTTCTTAAAGCTTTTTAGAATTGTTGAGCATCAATTTTAACACGGACTATGTCCTTTCTGACCATGGGTCAGTCCGTATTTTAAAAGCTGCAAGAAAAGGATGAGAATTTAAAATACCCAGGGTTTTCTGTTTATAACAAGTATTTTTTCTGTTCTCAACTTGTGGTTTGTTTGAAGCAAACTTGTATTGTATAAAGGCTTCCTGCTTGAGCCTCCAAATTATACGTAGGGCATATTTCAGTGAGCAGTTACCAGGAGAAGCCTAATACACAGGCCAAGCTTGAGCTGGCTTGGGACAACATCTCAGGAAAAGTCCCTGCTTTGTGGGGAAGGAGGCTAGGGTACACTGGTACTGTGCATCGGACAAGTGTACTGACTTGCTTTTTAGCAAAATTTTTTCGGTATTTTTGAAAGAATTTATTACTGAAACTCTTGAAATAGCTAATGCAGTAACACTTCTAATCTGTCTTTTGCTGTGTTCAGAGCGCGTTAGCTCAAAATATGGGTCCTTCTTTCCCCCCACTCCCTTACTGTTTCAGATGTCTCAGCATAATAAAGTTCAAGTCAAATTGATCCAAGATTATTACTCAGTATGTGTCTGTGCTTCTATTGCTGGTTTGTTGGGTTTTTTTTACTCAGTTTGTCAACTAGCAGCATTAATCAAATGTAATTCTTTCCTCATATCTAACATGGCTTATAGTCAAAGGACCAGACCACAACAAAGCTGAAACTCATTTGTTTGGCAGACTAAGGATGTTTGTCTTTGACTAGAAACATATGTAGAGCTCCTGTTGATGGAAAAGGAGCCGTTCAACAAGTTGGGAGTAGTTTTTAATCTTAGTATTAGAAAACGAACTGATAAGCACTGGTTTCAGTTGATCATCTGCCTTTATGATTTCATTATGGCAAGTAAGCTCCTAAAACTAAGAAAATAATTTCCTGTATTGAGAACCTTTGTGTTATGTCTTCTGATGTTACACCTCTGTGTTCCTGGGGCAGAGAACCTCAGATATGTGGGCTTTTATCGTACCTGGCTGTCTGCAGTGGATTTTACTGTGTGATGACAATTACTACTTCATTTGCTAGAAAAATGCACTTAATATTTGGGGGGAATTAAATCAGGGAAACCTTTTTTCAGCATTCTGTGTGAAAGTTGTATGATGTTTTGCATTGTATTCCTCTGTCAAAAATAGACTATAATACAATGTCAAGCATTAGAAGATACCCTGTAGAAGTTGCTCTGTGTCAAGATGCCACGTTTAACATTTGAACTGACTGGGGGAGCACAATCTGAAGTGCATTTATATAACTAACACTGTAATAAAGATTTTGATGGTGGTTGAATCCTATTCTCAAGTATTTTTCTTTTTAATTTCCTCTGAGACAAAACCAGTTGTTTTTTAAAAAGCTTGTTTCTAGTCACCCAGTTCAACAAATGGCTTATATGTAGAAGCTACTTTTTGACGTGCTTCCTTCAGGTTAGTAATGCAGAGTTGTTGTCCTGTGGACCAGTGTTATATTTAGAGCAGCCCAAAATGTAGTATGAGCCTGACCTCATCACATCAGAGCATCAAAAAGTACAATGTACTATGGAGGAAGTAGCTAGCTCCAGCCAAGTAAACATATTTTTAAAAAGTAATTAATATATTCATTTATATTATGATACTGTGAATTTTAGCCTCATTTTTACTGTCTTATTCTGTATTGCCCTTGGTTGACTGTTCTTGTTTGGTGGCACCAGTTATGACTACCTGTATTTCCATATTTAAGCCTATGAATGTGTGGGGTTTTTTTAGGTGGGTGAGGTGATGATAAAGAGGCTAACGGCTGAACAGCCAAGGTCTTAATCTGTGAAGCAGTGGAGTTGCCTTTAGTGAGAGTCTGACCCAGTAGGTTTTATTTGAGTATTGGAGGTAGAAGATAGCAACAATCAGTTAGGAGTGAATTAAGCAAACTGTCTTTAAAACTTTAAAAGCTAACCAGAGGCTTTCAATTATATGAGCTGTGATTAAAAGTATTAACGGAGTATTTAGAATATATTATACACCAGTTCAGCTGAACTGAATGAAAAAGAAGAAAAAAATAGCTACAGATCCAACTGCTTTTAAATTTCTAATGATCAGAGAGAGATGGTGAAGTAGTCTACCTTGTTTAATTACATATGAAAAAGCTCCAGAAATAACATAGTTTAAAAAAAACCCAACAACAATTTGCTTATCTCTCAGGGAGAAAAAGAAAACACGAATGTGGCATTTTTGAAACGCTGTATTTCATGGCCAAAAATTTACTTGATCAGTCAATCCTGATTGCATTTAAGCAGTTTGTCATCTAGTGAAGTGTCAGGTGTAGACCTGCTTAAGGATAATAAGATAATTAAAAGCATTTAGAAAACTGTTTAGTTTTACTCTGTGTTCAGGTAGTGTGCCATTCACAGCTGGGGTAGTGGCATGGGAGAGGTCTGTTGGGCAGTGAAACAAGGATTGCTCCCCAAATCTTAGCCTTTACAGAAACATCAGGAAGCAGAGAATGGTTAGAACAACTGGTGATTTTTTTTTTTTCCTATTTATTTAATTTCTACCACACCCACCCCACACCCCCAATTTTATTTTAAGACAAAAAGGAATGAGGATTTTGTCTTGTTGACTCTTTAGTTGTTTTCTGTTTGTTTCCTATATTTCATGGTTTTTTAAATTTTATTAAGTACACCTACAGATTTTTGAGTCGTTAGTAATACATGTAGACATATTAAATGTCTTCACTTTATCTGGTCTGACCTGAGGCAAATCTTGCAGCAGCACTTTTTGCTTCCTTACTGTTAATAACAGTGCTGATATCTCTTATTTACAAACTCTTTCTTTTCTCCCATGTCTGTGTTCCTGTGGAGCTGTGGATTTTCGTTCTGCTTCAGTCTCTTTACATTAAGCTCAATATGCTCTGTTACATTTCTGGTATTCCTGTAAAAGTTGGTGTTAGGTTTATAAAAACCTCTTGATTACTCCCACTTTTTGAAGCATGCTGTTAGAAAATAATTGAGGTTTAAGAAGGTCAACACTTTGGAGTCTTGGGCTGGCAGGGAGAGCTGCAGAGTGAAAACAGCTATGCATTTGACTGCCATTTATATTTTACTGCCTAAAAAGATAATTCTTTGGGTTTTCTGAATATGATAGTATTTGCCTTTTGATTTTTTGGTAATAATTTTTTATCTTGTCTTTTCTGTGAGAGGAAGTGGAACTATTTTAGTTCATCTGCTATTAACCAGTTTCATTAAAATCAATGTTTTGTATCTGGTAACACCCCCTATGGCATTTTTAGTATGATGCTTAGGGATTTATGTGCATCTTAAAACTCTTCTTAGAAAGACAGTTGCCAGAGGTGAAAATAATTAACAGCTGATCAGTCGCAGACTTTGCTTTCATTTGTGGTTTGTTAATGTCATTCCAATGTTGTTGTCCAGTTGCAAGAACACAAACTTTATGTGATAGGCTGTATAACTCTGGAAGTAACTACTCAAGCAAAACCCTCTTCACATGGGTATTTGTGTTAGGGCAGGGCGGGGTGGGGGAAGCAAGATCCTTACAATCGGTATGTGTTCTCTGGATGCAGCGCTGTTGATGTAATGTCATGCTACAGCTTGAAGTGGGCAATGGTACTCCCTCACCACCCATCCTGTCAAAATAGATAAGCTGGCATGGGCAAGGGAGCTGCAGCAGAAAACTTGGAGTGTTTTTATTTGAGGGACTTGTGTGTTTTGTGAGATTTTTCTGTTAAATTTGTTCCTGGACCTTGTGTGTCAGTCTGGGCTAACACCAATGCTTGCATAAAGAGAAGCAGTACAGCCCTTGTTGCATGGGAAGGTGGATGGTGAAGAGGGTGGGAGCAGGTGATACCTTTGAGACTGTATCCCTGAAGTAAAGGTCTTTTCCTCTGTCTGCTGGGGTCAGGAAAACACTGTTTGTATTCAGCTCTTAATTTTGGCAGGTACGTTCAAGTGTGTTGTACTGGCTGAGCAGCCTTGGAGGCTGGGTGTCTGCCAGTGTTGTCAGTGGAGCTGCAGGGACAAACCCAGGACTAGATGCTGCTGTGTCTCATTTGCCTTGTAGGAACGTTTCTGAAGGGCCGAGGGGGAGCTTTGCCTCCCCATCTCCCCTTGAATCTTTCTCCTTGCTGTGTAGTTGGATAACACACTTTTTGTGCAATATAAGCAGCTGGTTTTTCACCTGTGGGTTTTGTAGCACAGTAATTCCATGGCTTTAACAAAGCACTGAAGAGGGATGAATTCATACCAGTAACATACTGCAGTGGTCTTCAAAAGGAGCTCTGAAACTTTGGAAACAGTATTTTCTGTGAAGGAGGTGAAAGATGGTGTGAGATGTACTGGCGGACAGGAACTGCGTAGGTTGATAATGATATTCTGGCCCCAAAAGGCTGCGAACCACTGAGCTGAGATCACTTCTCTACTGAACTATCTGGAGCTCTTTATAGGTGTTTTCAGGTTTTTGAGGGTTGATTTGCTTGGGGAGGGATGTTAAAAGAAGCAGGCACTCAACTCTTTCTTATTCCATGTGCTTATTTCATGAACTTCATTGAAATGCTAATAGTAATGTTTGCCCTTTTTTTAAAAAAAATAAATATATCAAAATGATCAGGCTTTAGGAAGAATGGGTGTTACCTATTTCATTAACTTATTTCATGTTTTATATTTATTTCAGCTCTTTAGAGAAGTAAGAATAATGAAGATCTTAAATCATCCAAATATAGGTACCTTGTTTCTTTCACATAATTTCCACCTCTGAAGAAATTTTAGCTTTTCTGCTGCTAAAATTGTTGTAGTATGAGTTTAAAAGATGATTCTGCACTAGGGTGTCAATTTACTGTAAAGTAGCAGTAATAAATACTTTTTCAGATCTGTTTTTTTTTTAAAAAAAAGCAACCCAAAAAACCCCTGGTTTGGTCCCTTTGCACAAAACTACTATTTGCATAACTAACTGATAATTTTGCTCCTTTTGAGTATAATACTGATTTTGACTGAATTCAGGCTCTCATTCAAAGTAAGTATATACCAAAACCAAGAAGTGGTCAAGAAATTGTTCTGGATTGTAAATTTAGATGACGTAGTATTGTTAAGGGACTGTCAGCAATCTGACTGATAACTTACTTGTCACCATATATCCCAGTTCATTGCATAAAAATGGCTATTGCTTATGCTCAAATGTGTGGAAGTTCTGCTTAATTTAGTTGCTTTTCCCTTGTAACAGAATACTGTTTCTTGAGAAAATGATGTCCTGTATGAGTTGACCAAATGTGTTACAATATTTTCCATTAGACAGAAAAAAAGTTTCTGTAGGGTGATGGTCTGATATTATCAAGCAGCAAGCAAATAGGTGTTTTTTTTCCTCTGGCAGAATTCTCTTTGGGGTTAACATAGTACTTCTGCAACTAGTTAATTGATTAATAAATGGCTTTCTTTTCTAGTGAAGCTATTTGAAGTCATTGAAACCGAAAAAACTCTCTATTTAATAATGGAATATGCAAGTGGGGGTAAGTACTTCCCTGCTGTGATGACACATGTAAACAAATTGCCAGGAGGGAGAAGGCACTTGTTTTCTTTGAAGTTTTGCTTTCTTTTTCAGCAAATATAATACTAATAATGTCGTGGTAGTCTAAAATATTAAGCAAAATCTTTAATATTCTCTGGGACTTCTTTGGGCAACATAATTAATTATAACTTGTAAAACCAGCTTCTGAACTTACTGCAATTTAGTAACATTTGCTTTGTATTCACGACTCAAATTTAATGGGAATCTTTATTTGGCCATCAGTTGTTCCTGTTTGTACTAAGTGTCATCTTCTCCTATTGTATTCAGCTCCCTACTCTGGTGTCCTATTTTGTGTAAGATATTTGGTAAAAACATGTTCAGATGAAACATTTTTGTTTTTCTTTAACTGTTGCTTTCAAAAGCAGGAGTGCTGCAACTTCTGGTTTTTAGATGTTGATGACAATTGACATATCTTAATCACAGACCTTCTACTGTCAAGAGTTGTTAGGCTTAGCCTTAGGCCATTTTAGGAGGAACTTAAACATTTATTCCTGATTGCAGATGGGGAGGGAAAGGTGCACATCATGCAATGTCAGATATTTTCACCAGAGCTAGAATTAAGGTATTCAGGCTTAATTTACTCCTTGCTGACTAAAACCTAATAGCACTCAGTTTGTCAATGTGACCCTTTAGCATCAGCAACTGGAAATATGTAAGACTTTTCTTTAGTTTGAGAGGGAGATAGAGACTTCTCTTCAGAGAAAATCAACACTGAATTCTGACTCTGAAGTTAGACTACCTGAAGTTTAACAAATTACTATAAATCAAGTAATGATTATCTTCCTGCCTGTGTTTTCTTCTAGCAGCTTCCTAAATGCTCAGCTAAGATTTGTCTAAACAGGAACAAAGTTGCTAAAATACTGTTAAAAATGGCTAGTACAGATGTTTGTGGAGGCATCTCTGTCCTGTTTGATGGTGTTAGACTTAGAAATGAAGTCCTATTGCCATCTAGTGATTAGCTTCTAGGAGGCAGAAGGGCCAGTGGTTGTCTAAAGCAGTGAGGATCTTTCTCAGAGTAACAGAGATACACATACTGTACTGGTCTAAAAGGCTGTGAGCAGTACACTTTGCATGAGCCATGTTGTGCAAGACAGGAATGGCCGCTGATGTCAGCGGCAGGCATCAATTCCCCATGTTTTCTCTTTATCAAGATACTGGTCATGCGTGATGCATATGAACTCTGTGGCTGCAGGATGAAAGAAACTGTTGCTACAACTGCAACACTTTGCATAAATTTGGGCTAATTCTGTCTTTGGTGTCATTTTTCCTGAATTATCAAGAAGTGTTCAGGTTTGTTACTTCACCTTTTTTTAAGAAACAGCTGTGAAATACAGCTGAGAGAGTTATCTGAGTTGAGTATTAAATAATAACTACAGAGGGAAGTAAGGCTATTTTGTAGAAAATCTTGATGTTCCCTCGGATTGCTCATTATTGCTTTTCCTTCTTTATGAATATGGGGGGTTTATTCCAGTTTGGGGGAGTTGCTTCTTTTCAGAAATAAGTGTGGAGTTACTTAGCTCTGCCCTTATGAGGTAGCTATCTACAAAACAACGTTTTCTTGCTCAGTAGAGAAGATTTAGATATTTGATCCACTTACAAAGTTTTCATTAATTTTACATATTAGTGAAGAATTTTTAAAACTGTGTACTAGTCTGTTTGTAGGAGTTCTTATGTAGGTGACTATTGGTTTTTAGTAAAGCAAATCTCCTTTATTCTCACAAACATGTCAGTGTTTCATGGGCCAGTTGGCTGCACTTAAAGCTCAAACATTGTAGTCTTATTGATGTGTTGTAAAATGACTGGATCGATTAAAGGGAAAAAACCCAAACCACAACAGATCTTCAGTACTGCTTTGATAATCTCCTTTAGTCCTCCATAGCTATACAACACTGGGCTTGTTCAGGAGTAAATCCTTCTCAGTGTATCTTGCAGATCTGATGGTTGTGTGATTGATTATTTCAGTGTGTCCTACTGTGCTCGCTGTTGCAACATTCCTTGTGGGTACCTCTTCCAAGCCTAGGTTAAAGACAAGATTTTGGGGGTTTGGTTAGAACAATTTTATACACATGCACGATGAAAAATTCTAGTGCTACTATGACAGTATTTAGAAATATCATCAGATGTTCTCATATATGAAGCTATTTTTTGTGGGGCAAAATAAACTGTTGTGAGAAAGTCTATGAATGTTTATTTACAGGACAGAAGTATGCTGCTAAGTTTCCATCATAAATAATTGGAAGGAAATGGGATTTTTTTGTCTATATTCAGTCATTCATTAAGTCTTATTATTTTCTTGTTTAAGAGATGACGGTGTAGTAATTGCATAGCAGTTGTGTCTTGTTCTTTTGAGCCAACCTGTAATCATAAACTTGAAGTACAGTCATTCCAGTGAAGCTGCTGTGGGCAACTGCTAGAGAGGAATCTCTAGAGTCTGAAATTGGCATTAATCTATCTCTTTATTGAATTGTAGGGGAAGTGTTTGACTATCTGGTTGCACATGGAAGAATGAAGGAAAAGGAGGCTAGAGCTAAATTTAGACAGGTATGTATAACATCAACTCTTCCCACCCTCCTTTTTAATGCTGAAATGATTAAAATGGCTGTCCTTTGCATTTGACTTCTTGCAGTGTTCAGCATGTTGTAGACTTGTAGCCCTTAATGAGAAAGAAGCTTGGGTTACAGTAGTACTTGGAAGGGGCTGGAAGTCCCTTCAGTGGTGCTAGTTTCCTTAGTGTGCCGTGTGCCAGGGTGTCCAGGAGTGCCAAAACGCAGTTACTGCTTGATTTGGAAGTGTGTCTTGTTCCAGAATGCATTTCCTCTGGGTTGATTTCATATATCCTTAGTTCAGCTGGTCTGTAATATTTTGGAAGTTATTCAGATGTAACAGGCTACAAGCAGACCAGTTTCAAAATGCAGGCTGTGCATGTTACAGGGACCCGTCCACATCCATCTGCTTACATGAAAATATGCAGTTTAATTGTTGTTCTAAAAAGTCATGGAAAAGTCATTTCTAGGCTAGTTACTTTAGCTTTTTTAATGATGGATAAACTAGCCCTGCAAAAAAATTTAACTGATCTGTAAAAAGCATTTCCATTCTACAGTAGAGCAGTGTTGGATGTAACCAAATATTTTTGCATAACCAATTTAAATCTCTGCTCTTATAGCATCTAGAGTTTCATTTGCAGACCCGACTGGTCTGATATACTTTGTTTCCTGCTCTTGTGCAGAAACTTGGTCACTTTGATAACCTAGATAATGTGAAAAGTATCAAAATTATGCTTGCAATTAATGACACTTTAAAATAATGAATAGGGACATTAATGTTTTATTGGATGATGTGTAGTGGTTTTAAACTGGTGAATTGTGGCAATGATGTGGCAGTGAGTTTCACTGTTTTAAGGGGAGGCTTCGGTAGCTTCACTTCTTAAGTGTAGCTATACAAAAGTAGAAGAAATTTTATAGAATATGTGAGACTTCCAGGAGATTGATTAATGACTTTCACAAAATGCCTTGTAAAGAAAACTTTTACACTTCTCTAGTGTGGGCAGTGTGACTGAAAGGAACAACTAGGGAACTAGGAAACTGTGCCACAACTGTTTTGCTCCCTCTGTGGTAAGAGTTGTGTGAAAGCAACATAAGCAAAAAGCTCAAAAGTAGCAGTGAAAGTAAAGAAAAATAGTAATGTATTTAACCCAACATAAGGAGGCAGCAAAAGTGTTTCTGAGAAATCCTTGTTCCTTTGTTTTCTTTCATCTCTTTAAATCTTGTATTTACCCTCTTCAGTCTTTTTTTTGGGGGGAAAAAAACCCCAAGCCAACAAATTCACCAAAAAAACAACAAACAAAATTACTCCAAAAAGGCAGCTGTAGACTTTATCCCCAGAAGTTGTATCACTGGGGTGATACCACTTGATAGTAAGGTAATTTTTTTCTTCCTCTTTAACATAATCTTACATATCTTCTGCTGCTGCTTCCCTCCCTTTCATATTCCAGCAGGTAGAGAACTTTACTTTGTGATTGAGGGTTTCTGGCATGTGTTTCTGTGGTATGTTAGAGTAGATGTGATGGATTGTGGAGCAGTCATTTCCACTTCAGCCCTCTCTTCTAAATCCCAGGCTGTTGCCTTGCTCTTTGTAAGGCCACTTGAAGTGCTTCAGAGTAACTTGAGAGGATTTGCTATTCTTTCTCAGATGTGAATGTTGTAAACTTTTACTGGTATGGTTCTCTGCTCTTTGTCCTCAGTTTCTTTTGTCAAGAGCTGTGTGGAAAAAGATCTTGCAGTAATTCCATTGAAATTGCATGTTTGTTCAACAATTACCTACTTTTTTTCCCAACAATTCGACTCCCCTTTAAGTGAAAACTTGTGGAAACAGGTCAAACGTGTTTTACAGGTACACTTTTAGTGCTTAATTTTATGGCAAAATGTGGGTAGTACAGGATAAATGTAACTTCATTTTTCAAAAACAAATGTGAAGGGAAAGAATTTAAAAGGTAGTTAACCTGCTGAGTTGGGTATTTGACCCATCAAGCATTGAATTTAGGTACTTCAGATGCTGAGCTTTTTCTGAACTTTGATAGACTAAATGCAGTTTGTAAGGATATATAGATAGCCTCACTTGAATCCACTGAAATACACAGGAATATGTTTTCAGTTTCTTCTTCTAAGCCTTGTCTCCTGATGCAGGCACCTGTGCTCTGTCTGTCCTCCCTCAACATCTGACTTCCCAGCTACTGAGCACAACCAACTTTAGAGGACCTTGATTGCAAAGATGGGAGACTCTAGAGAGTTTAAGAAGCATGAGTGCCTGGAAAAAGAGAATCCTAGTAACGACCCAAGGAGAGAAACTATAGCATGAGCTCATTGCTCTTTGCTATGCTTTTGCTTTGCTATGCTGTACTGAGTTTTGTGCTCAGTACAGGCAACTTTGATCAGTTTGGCATTTGTTAGACACTAGGACTCTGGCTGTGGGACAGTGTCAAAGGAAACTAGATCTTATTGGGTTTACAGGTCATAAAACTATTCATTTCACCTTACTGTAGTCCCAGAATAGCTTCATATAGCTTTTAGCCATTGTTGGAGGGAGAATGCTCTCTGTAGACCTTTTATCTGATTCAGTGCAGCTGTTCTTATGTTAGATAGAGACTTATGACATAATAGTTTGGGGTTTTTTTTAATTTGCTAACTGGTTTAACAGACGGTGGCTCTCTTTAAACTGAAGAAACAGTTGTGCCCTGGTATTGAGCTTAGTTCTTACAATAGGTTGTATTATATCTTGTTTTCAGATCATGTTTCTTCTTTCAGTAGATGTGATTTCTGGATCAAACACTTGTGTTATATCTGAGGAGGCACTTCCTCTCTAGCAGGCAAAGAGCAGAATTTGGTAATTCTTCCCTCTTTGCTTGTTAAAAAAAAAACCAACACATTTTTTTGGTCCATTTTGTTACGCATACTTAAGGTTTTTAGCAGGAAATAAGAATGTCAAAGACAGTGATCGTGTTATTCCAGTCACGCTTGACAAGGAGCACAGAGGAGGGTACAAACACTAAAAATACAACCATGGTTTGCAGTTCACCATTTCAAACTCCTTTTGTGCAGCCATGTGTGAGAAATTCAAATCCAGAACATTCTGCATTCTTAATGTCACCTTGTTTTTTTTCCTCTCTTACAGGCTTCCAAGCAGTTCAGGTTTGATCTTACCATCCTTTTTCCATAGAAAAATCTGCCCATCTGGATAAGAATTAATGCACAATGGGAAGCCAAGACTGAAGGCAGAGGGTCTCCCAAAATTCATGCGTATTAATTCCATCTCTTCCTTTACTGCAGCCAATTAGATCTGGCCTCCTTCACTCTTCCCACTCTTTCCTTGCAGAAGCAGCTTCGATTTTTTAATGCTGGTAGATGTTAGGACAGATCTTGCAAAATAAAAAAATCCATAAAATACATCTTACATGTGTATGTTCCCGTTAAGAAGCAAAGTACTCATGGCAGTGTGGAAGGTACCTTGAGAGGTCATTTATCTATCCTTTTGTCATTTAATCCTTATGAAGAATTGTTTCTCTGCCTAGAGATAACTTGTTTCAACTTGTTTTTTAAAACCTATGATTATACAGATCTTTGAAATCCCTCCCAATGCTCCAGTTGTTACCTCTAGCAAAAAAAGTCTGCTGTTTCCTCCCTCTCCCCACCTGCCAAGCGTCAGCAAATTTCTCACACTCAAGTAGACTGGGGATGAGGGGGCTGTCAAAGGAAGCAGTGATGAAGGTGGAAGACAAGGGAATCAATCCAGTGCAGCCATGCTTTGTGCTATTTTTCATTCAGTTACGACTGCTGTTCTTCAATTATTGATGTCATACACATTGTATTATTTGCTTTCTATTTAGATTGGACTAGCTTCTGCAGTCTCTGTGCTATCCTGTTGCAATGCAGGGTAGTTCAAAAGCATCTCCAAAGGAAACAACTGATTGATCATCTGCTAGACCTTCCGCTCTTAGTCAGAGTAAAAGCAGTATAGAAGCGAGAGGTATAGTGCTGTGTCTCTGAGGTTTTTGTCATGCCATCAGCCTTGGAGAAGCCCCTGCAGAGTGATCTTGTGACTAGCACTGAAGTAGTGGTAGTGGAGAGGAAAGGAAGGAGAACCAAAAGGGTGGTACAGGTGGTAGCGTGGGAGCACTTTGGCAGTTTTGGTAACTGTAAAAAGCTGAACTTGAAGTCTGAAAGAGGGAGCCAATACATAAAAGGAACAAGCAAAACCAGAATGAAAGTGTAGGAAATGGAAATACTTCAACTTTCCATAGATTGCTTGGTTTCTAAAGTAACATTTTACACGTGTGTGGCTAATACAGGAGCTCAAAGGTCATAACATTGGTGCTTATGTTTCAAATGCAAAATTGACTTGTAAGTCAATTCTCTGACCTACTTTACTTTCACCGACTAAATACTAGGAGAAAGAACATTGCTTCTTACCAGAACAGGAGGATTCTTGTACTAAGCTCGGCAGTCCAATCACAAGTGGGGTTTTTTTTGTAGCAGTAGTGATGCCTCATCTTTGTGTTGGAGATTTTCTTAATCTTGAATGAAGAATGGAAATACATTTATTTAAGCATAGTGATTACAGTGAGTTATTTTTATGTGCAGTTCCACTTAAGGAAGTCATAACATCTGCCTCAATTCTGACCACGTATGCATGACAATAAAATATATTTGACCACATTTGTGATCAGGTAACAGTATGACTTTATCCAGCTTTTCCATACATGTAGAGTTCTGCAGCAATGCTTATGAATCTAAAGCAGTGTACTACGACACTGTACTGTGCAAATAGCTTATAGTTTTCTATATGAAGCAGGAAAAACTTGGTATTTGGAAATTGTGATGGAAGAAGTTACTCCATTACACTTGAGAGATGGAGTTTTTTCCATTGAGCTTGCTATTCTTGTACAGTATACAAAATACAATAAACCATATGCACTTAGGCAGCAGACCTCTGTCAGATGCATAGTTGCTTCTCACTGCATAAGTTTTGACAAACAAGCTGCTTTTTCCCAGTAGTTTCTCCAGTAGCTAAGCTCATTTCTTACCCTTTTCTCTCCATGCTGCAGCATGAAAAATCACCTTTGGAGAAGGACTGGAAGACGTCAGTCTAGAGGGAAAGCTTTGATAGCTGTATACAGTATTGGAATGGAAATACTTTCCTAACCTTTCTGAAAGTCATTGCTTTTACTGGTCTATAATTAGCCACACAGGAAAAACAAAATACTCTTTCAAGTCTAGTAGAAACCATATAGATCAAATAACAAACACCTAAGTTATTTAGCAGCTTTTCCCCAAATATGCTGGTTGCTGTAGTAGCTGGTTATGTAGCTATGAGTGAATAAGTACATGTCAACTTTAGTAATAAATGTTGAACTTTTTGATTAAAAGTCCTGCTTCTTTGAGATGTCATTTATATAATTGGATTTGTTTTCTATCCAGATAGTATCTGCAGTGCAGTATTGCCATCAAAAGCATATTGTTCATAGAGATCTCAAGGTGAGTAGGAAAAAGTGCATGAAGTGTGTGTGTGAGCTTCTGTACCTGTGGGTGTGATCTTTATTGGGCTGATAAAATGTAGTGTATATTAAGATTTTGGGGGGGGGGGGGGTTT